GAATTTTATGAAATTTCCGATGACCCACATCGGTCATTAAATTTTATAAATTCCATAAAAGGTTTGTAACAGTTACAATGGCGATAAGTATGTTCAAAAAAGTTGAAATTTTCATGGCTCGTACGTAATATAAAGAACTCCCAAGCCACATGTCCGTAGAAAATTTTCGTCACAAATGGAAAAAGTCATAGAATCTTATCTATCTTATCGTGGCATTGTTTAAAATTTTGAATTCTGTACACAATCTGATTAAAGCACTCTATTGTCAAACATCTCTTTGAATAGAGCTGAAACGTTCTATTATGCATTTGTTTAAAAAAATTGCTTGTGATCCTGCTTGAAGTGGTTTTTGTGTGACTTATATCATGTGAATGGCGGATTCCACCGATTACTATAATTGCTCGACATTTCTGTTGTCGCGGACCATCAACTTTAAAAATTTCGATAATTTCAATACAAACATGAGTGATGGCCGGCATTCAACTTCATCACTTCAGTCTTCAGGTACGGAACTTGTTAGTTTAAGAGTGTGTCGTATTTGCTAGTAAAGCAGGCCATTTAACCGCCTTTTTCGCGTTGAATTATTGCCAAGCAGGTGTTACCTCGGCTGAAGAGTTGTCCGAAAAATACCAAAAATTATTCGCCGAATTTTCTAAGTAAATTATAGATATTTCGTATTCATTTTAGTTTGATTTTTAGCTTACTTTCGGTTGGATTATTAGGATGAAAGCACAGCATTCTGTATTAAAGAAGGCTGTTATTAAGGTTTAATCTTATTGGATTCAAATTAAGAAAATTCATGGAGTTTTTATGACAAAGGCAATAGAGTGACACTTAATTATTTTTAATAGGAACAAAAAACCATTAGTTCATTAGAAGATGAATGCAAAACCAAAGAACAGGAATTGCGTACTGTAGGTTTAATCAGCTGTTGGTTTATTATGTCAGATTATTGAGAATTCTTTGCAATTAATTCAAATACATACTATTATTGTGCAGTCACTACAACAGCTCGATCTTTTAACTTTTCACAATCAACGTCTAACCAAACGTATCGAAAGCTTACAGGATTCGACTGCTGCGGTACAACTTTAAGCAATTCAAATATATATATGGTTTTAATAATATTAAAACTTTCCAATAAAAAGATTTTAACACTTTCTATTAGAGGTTATCACCTGGTTGGTTGGTGGGTTCAGCTAAGAAAGAACTTGAAAAGTCAAAAGCGACTTTAGAAGCTACCAGCATAGAGCTGAATAGAAAAATTGAAGAAAATGGTATAAATTAAATTTATATTTAAATATTTAATACTATGTGTTATATGCATCTAAATTATAATCGATACTTAGAATATGTTAATAACATCAATTGCATTTTTTTCAGAAAAGTTGCATAATGAGCTACTTGAAGTTAACAATTTATATACACAACACGTGGCTTCTCTCCAATCTAAAATATCAGAATTGGAGAAAAAAACTGAGGAGCTTCAGGTATCCATAAGATTCAATCATATTATATTCTGTTAAACTATTAATTCACATAAGTGCTATTTGTATAGATCGAATTAACAAGATCTCATCTTGCTAGCGAAGAGGCTTTGAGTATAATACGTCAAGAGAAGCGTGATATTGATAATGAACTTGACCAAACAAGATCGGAGCTACGGGAGTAAGTTTGCATAAAGACTTTTGTGCTTGGCAATCACAATATTATTTCTATCTATATTAAATGTTCATTTTCGTTATAGAATAAGGGCGCTTATGGAAAAGAATGAGCAGAAATTGAAAGAGGGTGATGATGTATTGCAAACTGAAGTGATCGTTCTTCGTGATACATTGAATATAACTCTGGGACTCTCAGATGAATCACAAATAGATCAATTTAGTGTCTGTAAATTATTGCATTTTATATTAACCTGGAATTTCTTATTCCCAGTTTTTTTTTTTTGACTTTATTTTTATTTTTTATTTTTAGGCTTTGAGTGAAAAAATTGATAACGAATCAAATGAACTTATCGAAAGTTTTAAACTATTGCAATCGAATGCTCGAGATTATTTAAAATCACTTAAAGAAAAGGTAAAAATATTGTCATATTCACGCTTTTTTTTTTTTTTTTTTTTACGTTTTTTTAACTAAAATATGCCGATGTGTCGTGTGATACAGTCAGATTTGTCTGACGAACTAGGTTTGAAAGTTAAAAATTCTAGTTTAGTATGGCAACAAAATTTGCCAAAACTAGTGGCAAAATTGGCATCTACTCAAAGTATGCAGAAAGATATTTGTTTGTTGTGCTATTATTTTAAAAAACTTTTTAATAAAAATGTTTTCTTAATAGGTCGAATAACAGAATTGACTGCAGAAAAAGAAAACCTTATTAAAGCTAACGAATCTGAATCGGGTAAGATCAAGATTTTAGAAGATCAAATTTCTCAGCTGAAAGAAGAGCTAGATAGGCAAAAGGTATACATGTCTGAAATTTAAAAGAAATGTCATGTCATTGACATTGTTTAACACAAGCAATTTATATTCTTTTAATTTACTTATAGGCAACATATAATGGTCTGGCGACAGAAATGAATCAGCACCAAGGTGGTAATAACATAGAAAATGGCGTTGATAGCAATGAAGTAGCATCATCAGTTGTTAACGGATTGAACGGAATATCATCGAATGGAGTAAATCATCATGATACATTAGCGAATAAAGATAATTCAGAAACAAGGGAAAATAATACGAATGTTACATCACAACAACTTCAAGAAGAAAATGATGATGACGACGACGATAATGAGGTTGGTTTTTTTTTTTTTTTTTAAAAAAAAAAAGCCGCAATTCACAATTCAGGACTGTCATTAACAAAGAACAATTGATTATGATAGCCTTTTGTTTATACTAATGATGCTGAGAAAAGAGAAAGTACTGAACTTTCAGATCAGCCAATTAAAGATACCTCACGTCCAACAGCTCTGACTGTTATGGCCACACCAATAACAAGATCTACAACTGACGATATTGATATTAACGCAAGTCGTAACGGTAATTCAAACATCCTTGAGTTGGAGCGAGATATAGGGGTAATTATTATCACTCTACTTTTAAAGATAACATATTCTTTTTATAATTATTTCGTTGCTAAATAATGATAATTTTCATTTATAATCAGAGAGTCACTAAAAGCGAGAGTGATGCCAGACAACGAGAGGCTCTTATCAAAAATCATTACGAATCTAAATTAAATCAGTTAACAGAACAGGTTAATATTTATATTTATTTAGTATATATTATATTTAATACAGTCTAATTCTTGATTAAATTTGCAGTTACAATTATCGGATAGTAAATCAGTAAGACTATTTAAGGCTACGGAAATCATTAAAGGAAGGTTGGCTGAAGCGGATGATGGGAAATTACGAGCAGAGCAAGAAAAGATAAGGTTACAAAATGAATTGGACCAATTGAGGGTAAATAAGTGCACTAAATATATACGCTGGATTTATTTCCATGTTCTTTTACCGTGAATCTTGCTGACATTCCTTTATAATAGGAAAAATTTCGCGAGGAACAAGAAAATTATATAAGACAAATTGATACAATGACAACATGGATCGGTAATCAGGAAAAAACTATTTTAGAAAAAGAGCGCCAAATAAATGAACTTATGGCTGGAACTTCACACTATGAATAAATAATAGCGAAAGTTGTTTATTTGTACATTATTCACATTGTATCTTACATGTATTATAGCAATCTGTAAAAAGAATTGTTCTATAGGTAGATAAATTAGAGTACTTATTTTTATGGCTTTTTGTTTTAATGTATTCTGTTGTCATTAACGTGGCTGTATTTTTTTTCGAAAAAAAATTGTTTGGAAAAAAGGGTTAGGGACTATCTTCTAATTATATCAAACATTTGACCCGAAAAATTAAATTTTATGAGTTATTCGTAAATTTGTATTATACTAGTCAAAAAAAAGGCTGAATAGTTTTTTAAAACTTGAAAAAATCTGTTTTTACGACATAATATATAGATCTTGCATATAGGTAAAAGAAATAGTAAAATCCATAAAAATTTATTCTCTAAAATTGCAACGTACTAAATGAAACTCGCAAAATTTTTTATGTTAACAGTAACACAAGTTATTATTGTTATAGCGAAGCAATCAGTCCCATTAAACAAATTTTCATTATAGCGAAAGTTTATATCGGGAAGTTCTAAGTTTATCGAGATTTTGATTTTTGATATGAAAAAAAAAAGTCAGGTGACAGTCCAACCATCTCACTTAGCAACCTCTACAACCAATCACTCAAGTGTGCTATCTCACTGCCACCCAATGCTGCAAGTTTTCCCTGCTCTGTTTCCAGCCTCGGGCATTATCCCTGCTATTTAAGAACCTCCTGATCCAAATTTACACTTGGACCAGAATGTTCACATCAGGTTCAAGTGAGACACTACTCTCAACGTGCGGCGCAAAGAGTTGTGGACCCAAGTGAGGGCTATTCCACCACCCTGTCCTCCAGAAGCAGAGTTACAGTCAACTGCCAAATTGACCGACACAAATAATTGAAATCATAGACTTATATAATAGAAATTTTCGTTTTGAAAAGAAATTATGGGATTGCAAAAATTGAATGATTCTGATTGGCCTCCTCTGACATTAGAAGTTAATGATGTAATTATGAACAAGTCAGATGATTTATACACGAGATACTGCACTTGCTGATCGATCGATCAATCTATCAATCTTCGAATTGAAGGTTAATTTAATAGCCGTGACAATAAATACGTAGAACACTTTTCGAAAACGAGTCACTCTGCAAGACATAAAAATGACTGAACATAAACCTATCCTTCTTTGTATGGGTAACCCTTTATTGGATATTTCCGTTGTTGCCGATGAGTCCCTTCTTAAAAAGTGAATATATATCCAATAAATAAGAATGTTGTTATATCAACCCTCACGAGTTACTTTACTGAATTTAGATACGATCTGAAAGCCAACGATGCTATCCTTGCTGAAGAAAAGCATAAACCTTTGTACTTGTTTTTAAATTTTTTCCCTTTTTATTAAACAGAAGCAAGCTTCATCTTGAAGGATTTTATTGACATTTAAATTATTTGAACGTAAGGTACGAAGAATTAGTCAAATCTTACAAACCTGACTATGTAGCTGGTGGTGCTGCCCAGAATGTTGCTCGAGCTGCTCAGGTAAATTGTTACGTCATCGAAATTACTGAAGTCGGGTAGTACCTCTTACGTCATATAGATTTGTGTATTACGGTCGCATTATTCGAAATTACAATTATATTTTTTTTAATTAAAGTATGTTTGTCTGTTGATTTAGTATATTCTTCAGCCAAATTCAACTGTCTATTTTGGATGTGTCGGCAATGATCAATTCGCTGAACAGATGCGCAATGCTGCGCAAAGAGAAGGTTTAATTGCTGATTATTTAGTTACCGATGAACATCCGACTGGCACTTGCGGTGTTATTATTACTAATAATCATAGGTATCAATAAATTTTTTTTTTTGCTAAATGCTATGTTCAAAGCTAGTTAATTAATTTCATTTCTATCGAAGATCATTGGTAGCGAATTTATCGGCCGCAGAACAATATAAAGATTCCTCACACATTGATCTACCTGAAAAATGGGAAATTGTAAAAAATGTAAAATTTTATTATATTACAGGATTTTTTATGTCATCTTCAATTAGTTCAATGTTGAAAGTTGCTAAGCATGCAGCTGAAACAAATAAGGTAATAATGTTGTCTTGTAGACCATGTATTTTTAAAAATTGCTTATGAGTTTAATCTATTTCCATTATATAGCCTTTTATGTTCAATTTATCAGCACCATTTATATGTCTAGCCCCTCAAATGAAAAAAAGTTTAAGTGAAATTGTTCCATATTGCGATATCATTTTTGGTAATGAATCTGAGGCTGAAGCTTTTGCTGTTTCGGAGAATTGGCAGGTAAATGTAGTATTAAGTTTCAATATTCATGAGAATATAATAATAATAATAATAATAATGTTCTCTTTCGTCTAATAAATAGTCAAAGGACCTTAGAGGAATCGCTCTAAAGATAGCGACTCTCCCTAAAATTAATACATCACGCTCTCGTATTGTTATAATCACTCATGGTTCTGAACCCACAATTGTTGCAAATCAAGACCTTAGCATATATGAAGTACCGATAATTCCAATTAATGTTGAAGAAATCGTTGACACAAACGGTGCTGGTGATTCTTTTGCTGGTGGATTCCTAAGTCAGTATGTGCAAGGAAAAACAATTGAAGAATGTGTTAATGCTGGTCATTGGCTTGCTAATATTAACATTAAACGTGTGGGTCCTACTTTTCCCGAAGAAAAAATTCCCTATCCTTCATAATCTCGTTTTTTGATTAAATTGTTTTTTTTACGGATTAAAATGAAAGGAATATTAAGATGATATTAAAATTATAAATATCAAGAAGATTTATACTTATTCTAAAACAATTTAAAATTTTCCGTTGATTTTTTCGAATATTACACAAATCGTCGAAATCGAATTTTAATCACAGAAAAACATCACGCTTCTTAATACAAATCTATTGCCTAAGTTTTCGTGAATCAAACAGTACAAATAACATAAAAAACTGACTTTCCCTTGTGAAATGCGATAGCTTCCAATATTGGCCTTGACCTGCATAGTAGTGAGAAAATTCATTTTCAAAAGGCTGGTACGTTATAAATGTGTTATACAGATTTATATATCAAATATCGATTAACTATAAGCTATGGATTTGATGTACTTTGACATTCTGGCTTAGACACTTTTGTAATGTATGTCAAGCTTCTTGAAAGATAACATCGCTAATAAAAATAGCTGTTTTTTACTAATTTATATTTATAAAATACTATTTATAGTAAAAATTTTAAGTCTATAATTTTTTAATTTAAAAAGTTAAGAAAGGTAAAATATTTATAATTTCTACTATAATAGCAAGCACAAAATCAATTCAAGAAAGTTTAAGCAAAATTTAAATATTTTGCCAAATTTAAATTTGGATAATACTATAGTGCAGATATTCTTAAACTAATATATTATAAATAGAAAAACTAAAATAGTTATAAATTAAATCTATTAGTAAAATAATAAAATAAAATCTAAAGAACAAAGTTACAAAGGTTATTTAATTAATATTTAATAAAGTTATATTTTTTTAAAGTTATCTAATTTTATTAATAAATTTAAATTTTGGCCATCTTAATTTTTGTCAAATTAACACAATTCTAACTAAAATTAATATAATTTTGGCCAAAATTATATATTAATTTAATATTAATTAAAAGAAATATAATTAAAATAACTCATAATAATTATTACCATTTCTAAATATATTTAGAGTTTGGGTGTAGCTTTAAAATATATAGAAGTCTTTTATATAATAATAATATAATGTTGATTAGATATACAGTAAGGTCAGAGTGTGGCAACATAGTAAAGTGGTAGAGTTGTCACTCCCAAGTGGCAGGTCTAGAGCTCAAACCCCAGAGATGATGATATTAAATAATGAACTTGTATTCGGTATTGTTATAGAACGAATTTATTATTAGTTTATTATTTTATTATTTATTAATTATCTTAGAATATTATTATTATT